GGTGGGGAGTCGCACGACCGAGAAGCGTTCTGCATTGCTTGATTTGATAGCTTTGCGTTCAGCCACCTCTCTGCTGATACTGTTTCCTTTTTCAACAAACATCAAATACACAAACACACACACACACACACACACACACACACACACACACACACAGCCTAAGCCGAGGCTCCAAACTGCGACGAACGGCTCGCGCTCGTAGCTCCAAATATGTGAAGAACCGGCTCGCGCTTGTAGCTCCGCACCAACACCGACACCCACAGGATTGATTCCGCCTCGGATAGTCGCGTTGGGCTACAGTAGGGCGTGCGTGCTTGCCGTTGCCCTGGTCACTCGTTAACGACCAAGGCAGCCTCTAACGGTAAGCACCAACAACCTCCATCCCTCTGTCATTGAGACATGGAAATCGAGGAGTATTGCCTCGTTCCTGGAACACTGCTACAGAACATGACACAAATGCCCATAAATCTCCGTACATCCGTACATGGGGATCTAACACGGGCATGGAAGCAGCAAATCGGGACGATTCAACGACAGGCGGTCACGAATGAATCGCTCAACAAAATCCCCGATAAACCTACGGCGGCGGTGACGTCAGGCAGGTCACGCGCACACAAAAACAGGAGTTGGCGACCAGAACTGACCGTTATACCAGACGTACACGGCCGTCAAGATCGCCAAAACAACGCAATAATCGCCAGCATAACATCAACAACAACGACGACAACCAACAACGACAGCAAAGATATCTCTTGTAGAGCAGCAGTACCGGTTGGTCGTCGGGCTTGGCGACGGGCCAACGCTTGAAACAACGCCGCCTCGGGAGCTAATGGTTGTAGAGGTGGGCACATGCACGATCTCAATGCGAGCTTACTCGCTCGACAGAGAGAGAGAGAGAGAGAAAGAGAGAGAGAGAGAGAGAGAGAGAGAGAGAGACAAACAGAGAGACACACACATGAGACAGAGGAAGACATTAGGTCGTGACCTCACTTTGAGTTGAATGTGTTGGCCGCCTTTTGATCGTTGGGCTTGATGCACCGGATGTACCACGGCTCGCACGTGTCCACGAGCTCCATCAGATCCAGCAGAGCCTTGCGGAACTTGAAACCCAGCGTCGTTAAACGCCGCGGGTTGTTGTCCTGCACACGTATACACACAAAAGCAAGCAAGAGAAAAAAAACAAGTAATGGAGATATGGGCACGATAGCCGTGGAAGCATTTCGATACATGACTTAGACAAATACAGGGCGCGCCTCCGAAGTGGGATCATCCGAGCATAGTAGTAATATCGTCCAGGGGGAGGTGAAAGGTGAAAGTAAAGCATAGATGTGTCGGTGTGAATCAGCTGCCAGCTGCCAGCTGCCATCAGTGACGTTTCCCGAGCTCGAACAGCTCATACAGCTCGCGTGTTTTTTAACTCCACGAACCAAAATGAAAAATGTAAAAATCCGTGCACAGTTCCCCAGCATGCACGTGTTCGAAGAGGGCCGCACACACGTGGTCGTGCGGACCACACGACACGCAAGGACCAAGGACAACAAGAATAATGATTCCAGGGCTCGGGGAGAAAATCCAAGTATGGGGGAACAAACATGCTCAAACAGAACGGGGGGGGAGAGTGGTGATCAGTTTAGCGAGGGATCGTTCAAGAGAGCGTGAGTGAGCGTATAGGGTCCATCAACAACAACGAGCGTGCGGAAGCACACACGCAAAAAAACACACATAAACCAAACCACACACAAGCACACAACGTAAAATAACACCAGCCTTAACCTTGGGCGGGAAAAGGGACCGCGTGACGTCGCTCTGCGCCCCGGACACCAGATCGTAAAGGTCCCTAAACAGGTCGTCCTTGTTGGTGGTCACGAACCCGCCGATCTCGTACGGAACCTCGCCGGCGTAATGCACAACCACGAAGCGGTTGGGGTTGGACCCCGCCGGCCGCAGGCACGGGTGCTGCGCGTTGTGGGTCTTGCACTTAGAGAGCCAGCCGCCGTCGGAGCCCTTGGGGATCTTGACCTCCTCATCGAGCAGGGGCATCAGCCCGTATGGCTGCGCAAACCGGGGGGGG